GGGGGATTGAACCGCGGTCCCTGATGCTTTGCCAAGCTTGTTCTAAGTAGGTGCTTTAGACCACTGAGCCATCTCTCCAGCCCCCACCTATTCTTTTAATTGAATTTAAAGCTAAAAAAGTTCAAGGCAATAAAATTTATGACTGTAATGGTCAAATGATTTTAGAGTGCTGACTATATGATTTCTTTTCTTCAGTTTTGCAGTGTAAAATGTGATACTTCCTATTCATAAGGGATGTAAAAGTTAACATGTTATTCTATAATCTATTATCCCTCAAAAGAAAGTAAAACTAATGAACTCTATTACTGGCATAACCTATCATTCACATGTTAATACTCAGACGATCAGCTTCTAAATTATTTATATGTAAGATACAGATAAAAAAATCAACATAAAAAAATCAAATAGATCTAGCTAGCACAAAGAAAAAGTTAGCTTTGAAGACAGATATGGTGTTCTTTTATATAACCAGTATATTTTATATTTGGCATTGAAAATACTAACAGTTCATTAATTATAGGATCTAGAATGCTTTTTCTTTATAAAAAATGACTATAGCAGTGCTGAGTAAAAAAATAGATTTAATATACTTCAAATTAAAATGAGATCAATAAATTAATTTTGAATTTTTCTGATTTTTCAGCTGTCTTTTGTAAACTCTGAAGTTTTTTCAAGGAAATAACTATTGATATTAAATCAAAAAGCACTGATATACCTTGTTTGTTCTGGATTGCCTTAAGTAGATGGTGCTTTTCTGGCAGTTTTTGTCTTCACAGCCTGGCAGTAAGTGGTCCATATGTCCATCTCCATCTGGCAAAAAAAAACTTCAAGAGTTCACTTAACAATCACACAATAAAAAGTTTATTTATGACAGGTTAAAATTCCTACTCAAGGTCTCCATTAATTTGGATAACATCAAAGGATTTGACATGTGGCTCTATAATGACTGTCATTCAGTTTTTAAAAAATCACTCTAGTCCTTGTTACTTATAATCTGGACTATATCATTAAATGTTTATCCTCTGTCAGTAAAAAGCCTTTGAGGTTTCCTGTTAAAATCAACAACTTTTAAAAAGATAGTTTTACATAACAGTCATGGCAGCAAGACAAAAATCAGCATGTCAGGAGTAACATACTGCCATACAGCCTATTTTACACATGAGACTCTATTTGTGCAGACAGTTCTCAGTGCCATTTATTCAGCAAGAGCTTCACTTCAAGAACTGTAACGTTCTTAGTGCCCTGGCTTCTGAAATGCAATCAGATTTTTTTTTTTTTTTTTTGTACTGGGGGGATTGATCTCAGGACCTTGTGTTTGCCAGGCAGGCACTTATGCCGCTAAGCTATATACCCAGCCCTTGCACTTATAGACCTTAATCATGAAAAAAAGCAAATTAAGGTACAGACGGATTTTCTTTACAATGAGCTAATTTGTTTTATAAAGATGCATACTATTTTGCAAATATCTCTAGAGGCAGGATGACTGAGGAACCTGCAGACAGTGCCTCCTGAGTTGCCTCTTATCTACTGCCTGCACCATCTGATGAGCTTTACAGATTTTGATGAACTGAAGCTAAAACTCTTAACAGGAATAGTCATACAGCTTTTTATTTGAGAGCCTGACTTATAAGTTGCTTTAGCTGTTGATTTATTTGCTATGGTTTACTGTATCAATTAACTTGTGTCCCAGGTAATATAAATAGTAGAAAGGCAATAAAACAATGATTAATAATTAAATATCTTTTACTGTAATAGTTTACATATACAAAAAAAGATACATAAGCTTATAAAATCTCCAATAATGTATTCCAAAGCAGAAAAAATTAGCTCGAGTGGAACATAAATTAAGCTAATGACATCTAACTTCAGTAAGGAAAAACAGATTTGAGGGGTATTTTTTAAAAGAATTCTTCAAAACGTATTCAGTTAAAAAGACCCTCCTCATACTTTTGTCGCTTGCTCCCTTCCTCAGTGACAATCACCGTAGCAGTACTTATATGTCCTTCCAACAACAGTATATATGCATGAACTGCATATAATTCTGTATAAATATTATAGTACTTTACGCACTGTCTAGGGCTAGAATTTTTATTTATTACTAATAATTATTTAATATATTTTTGAGATGTTTCCTATTGGTAAACTTATAACTGCCTAATATATAATATACTACTACATCATATGTACGTATCTCAATATAGTTGATTCTCTACTGATATGTAAACACTGGATTGTTTTCCAATCTTTTTGAAATACAACAATCCAAGAATAAATAATCTTGTATAATCTAATTCTAAGATTATTTTGTGACATAAATTCCTAAAATGAGAATTACTGTTGAAATTGTTTTATAAAATTAAAATTTTCATTTAATCTCCAGAAGAGGGATTAAAAAAGTTCTTAAACTTTCTGATACTCTTAAAAATTAAGGACATGAAATGAGCTTTATATGATTTACACCTGTGGCTATTTACCACATTAAAAATAAAGACTGAGGGGCTGGCCAGATAGCTCAGCAGACTAAAAATTAAGACGGAGAAGAGCCTAAATATTAACTAAAAAATAACACCCATGAACATATTATATATAAATTTTTACAAGAGTGGAATTGCCTGGTTTCAATACCTGTCTTAACACTGTTAGAATATGTTATGTTTGTTGATAAATATGAAAATATTTATATTTCAATAGAGGAAGTATTTTCACATAACTTTAGATATTCTTCCACACTACCACCAGAACAACAAATAATTTTTTTTCTCATGATAAAGTTTACAGTAGTATACTTTTTCCACTGTGTTAATTAAAATACACTGGTCTATCTTACATTTTTGATGGATGTTTTATTTCTACCCGTGCAATCACGTAAAATGTATGACTTTCTAAAATCACAAACTGGTCATTTGGAAAATGTTGGCTCAATGAGTTATACAGATCTTCCAAAATGCATATACACTATGTAATACAACACTGAAAATTCATATTTGGTAATGTTACATAAGCTTATCAGAAAAGTCTGAAATAAAACCTTTTGTTTGAAAGCTCAAATTTTATCATTGGCACCAACTCCTAGCAGCTGTTTTCTTTAACTAATGAGAACAGTTTGCTCATTTCAGAGAAAATGTCTATTAAATGCAAAAACACAAACAGTTAATCTGTCAGTTTTCCTAAGCAAAAAATGAGGTAACATGGAAAAACAGAAGTGGCTAGTTCAGCTTGCAACTCAATTATACCAGTACTTTTTGTCAAGACAATCATCTTATTTAATGTACAGCAGAAGTGTTTTATGTACAGTCCATACTTCCTCATACAGAGAATATGTTGAGGCATATTGAAGGGTTGAGATTTAATAAAATTATTATGTTTTGCTAATTCAAGAAAAACATTTTTTCCCTTTTTTTTTTGAGACAGTGTTTCCTGTAGCTGAGGCTATCCTTAACTCATATATACCCTGCCTGAGCCTCTGGCTGGTATTATAGGCCTGCAACAGCATTCCTGGCCAACGGCAACATTCGTTGGTGAAACTATGCTTCTGGTTTCTTCCTGCCCCACCTCATTTTAATGTTGTGAGTGTACCCTGGTGGTGCACGTACATGCATACACACACGAGTAAATTTTGGGTTTATTACTTTGTGCTAAATTGCAAACAGCTTCATCCACCACTGATTTGCTTTATCAATGAAAAGTTCAACACAGACAAAATGATAAGAAAAAAACGTGGTTAGCATTATTAGAAAAATAGTTTGATCTTGTAGACCCCTAAAAGTTGGATGAACTTTGTCCTAGGTCAATATTTTGGTGCACAGTTTGAGGATCACAGAAGTGGCATTAAGAACTCAGTTTTCATTTTTTTATAATATGATTTTGAAAATGACTCTCGGGATTTTAATTTTTAGCTTTCTTATGAATTAGACTGGTAAGGCTGTGATGTAGCTCAGTGTGAAGACTCAGTGGTTAGCCCCCAGTATTGGGGGGAAGAGAGGAAGAAATACATTAATATTTTCATTTGGATTTTAATTTTGCTGGTAACTTATAAAAGTCTTTCCACTCTATTACTATAGCTAACTGGGCTCCCCCTGTCCATCCTACTTTCTTCTAGTACTTTTGGATATTGTTTTTATGTTTCAGTGTTTGAAATGTATTTTGGTATAAAGTGTGCATTATAATCTTGCTATAATTTTCACAGGTAGATATAGTTTTCCCATATGAATTTGTGAGTGAAAGTGATTTAATTTTCAGAAAAGAAATTAAATCTCTTTTGTATTATTTATTTTTATCTGTTAACAGGGCATGATTTGCATACCAAGTGGTTGCTGTGACATTTAAATATGAAAGGAACAATTTGCGAACAATTATAAAGCAGCAAACATATACAAAAGAAGTATATTATCTCAAATATCCCCTCTCTTACGTATGCTGTGTATTCAGCACGGGGGTAGACTCTGAGTAGCTAGTTCAGGCTGCAGAGCCAATGTTCAATGCCTGAAGGACAGAAATGCTTTTCCCTGAGGGTTCTCACACCAAGGACCAGCTGCATGGCTTCCAGTGGAAACTGTGAAACACTTAGCATGAAATGTTAAAATAACAATTTAGGGTTTGATAAACTTTAGGGATGGAGAAAAAGACTGCTAAGCAAAACAGTTAAATTTTTCATCTGTACTCTGAAATGCTGAGTTTAAGAGTAAAAATAAATTTATTTGTGATTTGTGGAACAAAACATATCATGACACCTCAAACATGGGGTAAGGCAAAATGTTACCTTCCACCATCTGGAAAACTTATGGATCTGCCTGTTGAATAAATCAGACATTAAATAAGTTCTAAAAGTCACAAAACTAATCAGTTTTTTTTTCTTCTGTATTTAGGACAGGGTTTATAGGGTCTACAGGGTCTTACTACGTGGATTGTAGTCATAGTGATTCTCCTGTTTTCAGCCTCCCTAATGCTGGGTTACAGGTGTGTGCCACCATGTCCAGTCTCAACTGCCATCTCAGTGTATCCCGTAGGTGGGCTGGCACGGCATGACCGGAACTGAGCCCTGGCCACTGTGCTGTCTAAGCAGGCGCTTTAGTCCACTGAGCTATCAGGCCAGCCCTGAAGAGATTTTAAAATAGGATTCAAGCCTTTTTACTATATGGGACCCAAAGCTGAAAGATGCGTGTAACAGTTTTTATAACTACAATTTTCGGCTGAAATGAACAAATGATATAGGTAAAAGTAGCAGCTCTCCCATGACATGTAGGAGATAGACAACAACATATTTACACTTAAAACTACATTTTTTTCCTCATTAATGTAAAATTGGAAATACTAAAGTTCTAAAAAATTTACCCTAATCTATTTCCTTTTAATTTCCACTGAAATATAAAAAGAATATCATTTTATACTTCTCAGAGGAGCACAACAAAAATTAATGTAAGATAAAGTACTGACATACAAATACATGAATATGAAACAAAAAGTATATAATCAGATTAGACTAAAAAGCAAAAATTAAAATTTTAAAATAATTAATGAATAGTATTAGGAATAGATAATATGCATTTAAGAAATTTATTCTCAAAATGCTTGTTAACCAAAGTAAGCAATAAGAGTAGCATCACTGGAAAAAAAAAAAAGAAAAAGAGAATCATACTATCTATAATTAAGGTTAATTTTATTATTTTAAAATTATTATCATTATTTTCCACACCAGGGATTGAACTCGGTTCCTTGAGCTTGCCAGGGAGGCACTTATGCCACTAAGCTATATCCCTGGCTCTATAATCGAGGTTTAATAAAGGAATAAACTTAACTTCTATTTTTTCTGT